AGCTACCGTGTTTCCCCGAAAATAAGACACGGTCTTATATTTTTTTGGCCTCAAAAAAACACACTAGGTCTTATTTTTGGGGTAGGTCCTTATTTGATTTTTTTTATGTACAACAATCCACACTTATTTATGTACAACAGTCTACATGTATTTATGTACACAAATATGGTGATCAGTGGTTCCAAGAGCAATTTGCTAAGCAATCGCTGGCCAGAACGAGAGAAGCGCACTTTCACTATCAATTCCTCACAGGCGGAGTGCATTTGGTATCACTCCGCCTGTGACAGGAGTTGGCATTGGCTTATAGGGGCTCTGCTCCCTCCAGTGCCGCCTTGCTTCCTCTATGGCTGGCTTAGTTGGCACCACTGAATTCTCTCCCGCCTCTCCCGCGGCTCTTCAAGTTCCCCCTTATGCCACCACCGGCCCTGGAAATGGTCACAACTAGGTCTTATTTTCGGGGTAGGTCTTATATTTTAGCAATTCCCAAAAATAGTACTTGGTCTTATTTTCGGGGTAGATCTTATTTTCGAGGAAACAGGGTATATGTACAAAGTGTATCTCCGATTTTTATTTGGAGTCGGTGGACAGACAGGGACCTTTTGTATTTAACAAATGGAGTTATCGGTCATATGTAGGAGATAGTGGATTTAGTATGCAACCCTGCAGCCTATGATGAGCCGTTGAACAATATTTCTAACAGACTCCCAGAGGGATGAAGTTTAGCACAGTACCAGAAACTGTGGGACAGGGTGAAATTAAATACATTTTGCTATATGTATCCCACATACATCTGCAGCACAACCAGCACACAAAGTCAGCCTCAAATCGTTTTTTGTTATACAAAAAGGATGCAAGGCCCATCTTAATGAACGTTTGTAAACTGAGACAGAACACAGACATAAAAAGGAAAAAATAAAGTCATAATAAAAATCACAGGCCAAACCTGCTCAGCATTTTCAGGATACAGCTGCAGAACTGCACGGGAGCCACGAGCCTGCCAGAAAGAAGCACCAGGTCTGTTATCAAGTTTCACAGATCTCACTCATTGGACAAATATATTACACATACATACATACCATAGGTAGGTAGTTAGTTAGGTTCCTGAGGGAATTGGTTGTAAATAGAAACCGGTGTAAATTGAAACCCAGTATATAATGTAAGTCAATGGGGAGAGAGGGAGTTATGTTCCCGACCTTTCTCAAAATAGACATAAGTAATAAAATACAGGTACATTATATTTAAAGCTGCTGCATGAGCTCACACAAGGAGATTTAAATAAAATATACCTGGATTATGTTAACTATGTCAATGAGAGAGGCTTGGAACCGACCTTCCTCACTTTCCACTGACTTACATTATTTACTGGGTTTCAGTGTACACCAGTTTCTATTTAGAAGCATTCCTTGTTTTGAGAGAGGCCTGGAACCCAACTCCCTCACTTCCTATTGACATACATTATATATTTGGTTTCAATTTAAAACACTCCCAGAAAAGGGGGCTATTTTAAATCAGTGCAAATTGAACCGTTGTAAACCGAGGGCCACCTGTATATCACTCCAATCAGATCACTACCGGTAGCGTCACTGATAAAAGATTTGTGATTATGGCTGGTGACTGCAATTTACAAATCCTCACTGCTGGTTGCATTGTTTTATGCCAGTATCTTTCAGAGGTTCATGTGCTAACATTAAGGGGATATATTTAGAAACAATTTGCAGAGCTATTCACCCTGCAAATCTCTGAGAACATTTGTTCTGTGCAAATAGAGACAAAAATAAACTTTCTTTGTACAATTCTTTGTAGGTCGAAGGTAATGTAGTGTAATACCGCATTCATGCTACTAGATGGAGCTGAGGACCAAAGGAAATAAAGTATCGTTACATTTATATTTCTCAAGTATTTCCCATATTACTATACTTACCAAGGCAGAGTAAAGAGTTGTGAAAAAGCAGAACAGCCGGCGTGGGGGATTGTGGGTTTTCTTGTCAGCGTTACAAAGCCACTGCAGAGCTGAAATACTGATAAATAAAACAAATCATGTTAATGCCGACCCTCCAACATACTTATTATAACTAGGGATGCACCCGTACTGGTTTTTCGGTATCGAGTATGAGCACCGATATTTATATTTCGGTACTCGCCAATACCAAAATACAGATACAGGTACTTCCACTAGCATGGAGCAGGCTTCTGGGACAATCAGGAAGCTAAAGGTTGGTCATTAACTGCTGCCCGGCCTCTTGACTGACCGGGAAGCCGGCTCCATGTTCCTCGCGGCACTGCTCGTCAGAGGAAATCTCTTTCTGACTGGAAGTTCCAGTATTAGGGAAGGTATCGGCGCATTTGGGCGAGTGCGAGTACTAACCCATATACTCAGTATCGGTACATCCCGATTATAACTATAGATTTCGATTGTTTAACAGATATAGGGGTCTATTCACGAAGCTGCCGAAGGATCTAGCCGTAGCTTCGGCCGATCCTTAGGCTAGCTTCGGACTCAGGACCCCTTCCGTTCAGTAGAGCTCTCTCTCTTACTAGTCTCTCTCATCCAATAGAGTTTGCAAACATAGATATGCTAATGTCCACCAATAATATACGCAATACAACGAGAACACTTTCTGCACAGGCATCGTACCTTATGCAACCATCAAAGGTACCAGGGCGAAAAGGGATGCCTTGACCCATATCGCCAAGGATCAGATCCCCCTCAACTTCCCGATCCAATGCCACATCTAAAAGAAACCAACAACAGCAAAACAGTAAACGTAAAGGCAATTACTGAAACATCAGCCTGAAGGCAAATGAGAAGATATGCAATTTACCCAGCATGGCAGTACTGATGTCTATTCCAACCCAATGATGTCCCTGCTCAGTAATGTAGTCTCCACTTAGTCCTGAACCACAGCTACAAAATGAATAGGAGAATAAAGAGTTTGTATTGTACAAGACATGACATAGACACATATTCAATGCAAAGATCACTCTTAAATTCCTGATGTGACAACACACCCCACATCCAACAGGTAGCACGGCTGATCTTCAGGCAAGCACAAGAGCTCTACCGCACGCTCTGACATCGTTGACTGAATCTCTATTATACGAGAGCTAAGGTAAAAAAATAAATAATAATTTGTACCACACCGCTACAAATGTATTTATCAAATCAGACAGAGTGCACAAAAACACATTGTGGCCTTACTTCCGTGTATATTTTCTTGCTTCGTCTTCATTGTAGAACTAAAACCAAATAAGAAAATACAGATTACAACTGCTTCAGTTCCAACTTTGATAGCCGCACACAGACACAGATAGGATGCATCCAGGTCTGCACATCGCCTGTGTGTGGCTGTAAAAACTCAGGCCCCATTCACACTGAGCGACATGAAAATCGCGCGATTTTGAGCGATATTGCGCGACTTTTTCCTATTGGGCTGTATGCAATCAGGAGCAATATCGCTCGAAATCGCTCAAAAAAAGGGTCATGTAGGAGCGACAAGCTACCAGCGACGAGCTACAAGCGATATTGAGCGATATTGAGCAACGAGATGTGAATAGCTCCATTGAAATGGATTGGAGAAGCTACATAGAGCGATATCGCGTGGAAATATGAGCAATATGGCTGCAAAAATCGCTCGATAAATCGCTCAGTGTGAATGGGGCCTCAAAGCTGCAGAAAGTAGTATGTGAGGGCACACAGCTCCTGCGTCTACATAGAGTTAAATGAGCTGTATGCTCCTGCCCGCAGCTCCGGACGCATCAACAACCAGCCCTTTATGATGTATGGAGCAACACGCCCCGGGTGAATGAAACTTAGAAATTGTTATATCCTGCCATTAAAAAACTGATGCAGCAATTAATAAGTCCATCTGCACTTACTGTTTTCTCTTAGTCCCCCTGCACAGTCCCACAAATATCTGTTGATCCAGTCAGTGAAGTCCACCTAATGCAGCTTTCTGTGAACAATGCTGCACTGCCCCTGAATTCAGAGCTGTGTCTGCTTGCACTTCAGTGGGGCTGCGGCTATCCCCCCCTTATCACTGCTGATAAGTCTAACATGTCAATGATCCCTTGGCCACACCTAGTCCCGCTCACTGCCTTCTGGACTGACAGCACTGCCACTGTTGCTGAAATCCTTCCACTGTGATCTGCAGTGTCTGAGAGGAGAGGATCAAGCAAAACAAATGACAAACGCACTCATCAATTTGTTACCAGCTTTGCAGCAAGGTGCACACGGAAGGGCTTCATACAGTTGTCAGGAGGAAGCCCAACCTCCCTTAAAGGCACAGGGACGCACAAGGGACCGCCGGTATGTGTTCGCTCACACATGAACGCCGGTATGTGTTCGCTCACCTCCCGATCTACTGAGCTGACCTGTGACAGTCTCATTGTCACAGGTCGGCTAGAACTATGAGGTGAGTGAAAAGCACTCACCTCATAGTTCTCCTTTAAGCTCTTTGAAAATGAAAGAGAGCTGACTGATTGCCATGCACCTCTCCAGATTCTGTCTGATCCATTCGTAGTAAATTGCAATGTATGTTCCTGCTATGGCCCACCAGAACTTGTAGTAGGGGGTCTCACCAGTTCTGGGGGTCCAGTCTGCTCCGGCCGCTTCACACTACCAGCCATTCTTACAAATTCCTAATCTCGTTCTGTCCGCGCACAGATTGCACGTCATTACGCACAGCGCTGTAGTCGATAGATGGCGAAACGCCTGACCCATTTTTGTCTCCACTATATTGACGTTTCATTGTATTTATTATCAATGGTAAACACGCAAAGGTCTTCAACAAAATGGCTTCCTTGGTGCCGATATTTGTAGACAAGTAACTAACGAAAACGTGCGTTCCTGCAATTACACTCAGCTTTGTGCGTTTCAAGCCTCGTTTCGAAATATATCCTTCATTCAATTGGCTGAAATTTTGAAAGATATGCCTGACAACCAATTGTTGAATGTCTTGGATTGTTTGCCGCCGTGTCCCCGCCTACCTTGGCAGCGTGTCATGCTACTGGCTGACAGAGCCCGGCCGGCCTCTACTCCGGTAGACATGGCGGAGGTCAGGCTGAGGTTGTTGCGGAGAAGTGCACAGCTTCAGCTTGTAGAAGATGTCATCCCCAGTGTCAGGGCCCGGGAGGCTGTGCTGACTCCATCTTGTATGACTCCTGTTGGATGTAACAGAGAAACAGCTGCCTGCGCTTCTAAAGATAACCATAGGAAGTGGACATTATGGCCCTCCACCCTTCCCAGGGGCCAATGTATGTGGGTGCCAGGTCATATGCCACTGAAGGCCACATCGGGGGTCCGCTTCTACAGTCAGGGGCATAGCCCCAGAGCATCCTCCCACCAGACTGGGAGTTGCCGCCGTGTCCATAACAGTGGAGCACTGGAGCCAGATGTACCACTGTATGCGACCCGCACCGGATACTACGACATCCTGGAGGTGACAGGGAATGCCACACAATCCCAGATCAAGACAGCGTATTACAAGCAGTCCTTCCGCTTCCACCCAGATCGGAACGCTGGTGATGTGGCTGCCACCCTGCGCTTTGGCCAGGTCACGGAGGCCTATCATGTCCTGGGCAGCACCAATCTGAGGAAGAAGTATGACCGTGGCATCCTGAGCCCGGAGGATGTCCGCACCGCCACAAAGCCTAGTGGGAAGAGCAGCAGCCCGTCACGTAAAGAGGCCACTGGCCAGAGACAGGCTTCAGGTGACTCATCCACGCTGGCCAAACCAATGTTTGACTTTGATGCATTTTACCAGGCGCACTACGGAGAACAATTGGAAAGGGAGCGACTCTGGAAGCAAAGACGGGAAGAGATTCAGAAGAAAAAACAGGAAAAGAACACAGCAAAAGAGCTGAACATGGTGGTTGACGTGCTTCCTGTGCTATTACTTCTGCCTGTACTCTTAATGTACCTATCCTTCAAGGGCTGACCAATTTACCGCGCAAATCAGCGCTCTTTCAGAATTGTTTGGGCCCGTGGCCAAAAGCCTGTTGATACAGGTGTTTGTATAGGGGCCTTAATAAGACATTGATTTGGAACCGATTTACCAAAGTGTAAGAAGTGAAAATCTCCTGCTTAGCTCATAGTAGCCATTCTGACTTTCCTTTTTATTTTTTGCGTGCAGTTTGTAAGAACGAACTGGAGATTCTGATTGGTTACTTTGGAAGATGGACAGTTCTTCCCTTAGAGCCTGATAAGTAAGCTAAATGTGACATTAGGTATGCACCGATGCCCCTTTTTTGATATCTATCTTTCGGCACTTGCGCTAGCATAGAGCCGGCTTCCCGGCCAATCAGGAAGTCAGGTGGTGGGTATTGACAGGATAGCCCGGGAAACTGGCTTCACGCTGTTTGGCTGGCTCGATGCTGATTGACAGGGAAGCCGGCTTCGCGGCCGAACAGCATGGAGCCGGTCAATCAGGAAGCCAGGCGGCGAGTCATTACCCGCCGCCCTGCTTCCTGATTGGCCGGGAAGCCAGCTCCATGTTCACTCGCGGCACAATCTCCCTCTTACCGGAAGTTCCGGTATTGGGGGAAGTATCGGATCATTTGAGAGAGTACAAGTACTCGCCCAAATACTCAGTATCGGCACCAATACCGATACTAGTATCGGTGCATCCCTATGTGAAATAAAAGAAAATTGATACCAAATACCATTTTCCTTTCCTGATGTCTCCCCATACCAGCACATCTGTGTTATGATCTGACTCTTGATTAGCCAATAAAATACTTGCCTTGTGCCACTCTCGCTGTTTGACTAATCTAGAAAAAAAAAAAAACACTAGCGTGGGAAATGTATGCCAACATGGTGAGAGATCAAGAAAAGAAAATTTCTGTATTCGTAACAATTTTTCTTTTTCCTGTCTCCACATGCCAGCTTACACCTAGGTGCTGAGTAGCATCCCGAAATGGCCAGTAGATCCGGAGCTATAGACAGCTGAATTGATATGTAAATCTCCACTTTGCCTGTCAAGACTAGCTCAGCCCCGTCTCCCTATTGGCCCCTTAATAACGTTTCCCCGATAATAAGACCTAGTACTATTATTGGGAATTGCTAAAATATAAGACCTAGTTGTGACCATTCCCAGGGCCGGTGGTGGTATTGGAAGAGTTGCGGGAGAGGCAGGAATCAGCGGTGCCAATGAAGCCAGCGCTAGAGGAAGCAAGGCGGCACTGGAGGGAGCAGAGCCGCATAAGCCGATGCCTCCTCTATAGCGCCGACTCCTGTCACATGCCGAGTGATACCAAATGCACTCCGCCTGTGAGGAATCGATAGTGAAAGCGCGCTTCGCTCATTCTGGCCAAATTGCTCCTGGAAAAGGTACGGCACCCCTGATCACCATATTTTTGTACATGAATACATGTAGACTTTTCTACATGAATAAGTGTGGATTGTTGTACATTAAAAAGACCTACCCCGAAAATAAGACATATTGCGTTTTTTTGAGCCAAAAAAAATAAGACCGTGTCTTATTTTCGGGGAAACATGGTATGATGGGCAGTTTAGATTTGTATACAATAACAGCGGACTATTTTTCTACATCTACTCGCCATATAGACATTTGATTTTCACTGTTAATCTCTACTCGTACATGCTTTCATCATATGTTCAGGTTTACTTTAAAATATTGTATGACTGGTTATGTTTTATATGTAAAATGTCTGTTGAAAATAATTATGGCTGAAGCATGGGAAGACAGTTATATGTTTAATTAGCGGGTGGACATTGTATAATGTATATGGCACTAGGCACTTTGGATAACCTTGCCTTCTTCTGCGTCCAAAGTACATAGGTTGAGATTTCTGTATGGTGCTGCAAGATTGTTTGATAAATAAAGGGAATCCGTCAAAGCAAAGAGCTTGTGTGAGGAACGTCAGACACAAGCTCCTATTCTATGATTTCCAGGCTGCGTGATAGTTCCAGGGTTGTGATGTTATTTACAGTGAAGTAGACTGGAGTCATTATCAATTCCACTGTCACTATAATGTGACCTGGGAGTCTGAGTGTCAGTTTCCATCTGATGCTTCTCACACAGGTATGCGTATGATGATTCCCTTGGGTATTTTCAGGCCTTACAATGAAGCAAAGTTAAGAGTGACCTTAAAAGAGTCCCAATTGTTGTCTATTATAATGTGGGTGACATGTTTTTATGAGTGTATGTATCATAGTTAGCAACTGTATGTCAAGGATGTACCTCTGAGATGTGCCTTTTCCACATCCCTAAACAACATGGCTGCTGCACTTTACTACTACGTATTGTAACAATTTGTCTGAACTGTAAATATTACATCCTGGAATGTTCAGTACTGTAATGAGATGTGATTAAAGAATTTCAGGTGCTTATCTTAATTTTGGTGCTATTGGTAAACAATAGTAAAATACAGTGAGGGGAATTTATCAAAACTGGAGCAGACAGAATCTGTGCATGGCAACCGATCAGCTTCTAGCTTTCATTTTCACATCTTAACTGAACAGAGCTAAGAGAGAAGCTGATTGGCTGCGACAGGCCACTGCTCCAGATTCTTCTGCTCCAGTTTTAATAAATTCCCCCCAGTAAATTCTATTGGCCAATGTGGCCTCACAACAAAAATGTTCAAGAAGAACTTGTTAGAAAAAAGAATCCCTGCAGTGGGGCTGCCCCTGCATTGCAAGGGTTAACTGCTCGTTTTTTCTCGAAGGGCACCAAATAATGAAGATGATCCTTGGTCCTGCCTGGCTGCTATACCCGTCTCCGCAGCCTATTTATCCCCGGGCTCTGGCAGTCTATACCCCATGACGTCATCGTGTCTACTACAGTCCATCTACCTGTATTAGACATGAGGACGCCAAGAAGCATACCACAGCCAGAGCGGAAGGGGAAAGAGGTGAGCGGTCACTGCCACAGGACCGAGTATCAAAGTATTCTTTATTTTCTAAAATCTGGAGTTCTTTAAAGTGATATTTAAGTCAAACGGGTTTTAAGCGATTCTAAATGATGAAAACACTTACATTGAATGCTGCTCCTTGATGTTTAGAAGTTTTAGCTTCCTCCAGAATCAGCTGGTCCCCTGAGCACTGGTCCTGATATCCTGTTTTAGGATGGCTCCTTTGCCTTGCAGGGTCCTATGGAGCTATCCTTGTGTGTGCTCGTAAGCTGTGTGCGTCTCCACGAACACATAGTAAAGGATGGACAGCGGCACTCCAAAGCAAGTTCAGTACGTGTTTATTAACGTACTAGCTGCAAGTAGAACACTCTAAACAACGTTTCGGGGTCTCACAGGATCCCCTTTATCAGGCAAACAAGTGACTCTATCCACGAAGACACAGCATGGCAAGCTACTTATCTCCACCCCTGCTCCCCTCTCCAAGCCAGTAGATGAACAGTTGCTGCAGACTGTGCTGTCTCTTGTGATCTTGTACTGGACAGGTAGTTCGGGGAAGCTGAGCTGAGAGACTTGAGACTTCAGAAACATAACTAAGTGCTTGGGAAAAAAAATAAAGAAATATTTTGCTGGACAATATATATTTGTTTGATCTGGATTCATTATTGAAAAAAGTTTGAGAGTTTAACACTACTTTAAAAAGGAATGCCTGGATTTTCAAAAGTTAACCCTTGCAGTGGGGCTACCCCCACATGGCAAAGGGTTAACTGCTGATTTTTCTCTAGGGGTGAGGATAAAGAAAATATACCTACCTGATCCTCGATCCCACATGGCTGCTAGATCAGTCCCCCACAGCCTCTTCTTTCCTGGCTCCTGCAACCTAAGTATCTGTGACATCATCACATCTAACAGGTCTATTAGACGTGAAGATGCGGAGGGGGCAATAGGTGAGAGCCAACCGTAGCAAGACAGAGGATTGGGTGAGTGTGTCTTCTTTATACCATTCCCTAGACCCTTGGTTCTCAACTGGTGGGTCGTGACCCAAAAGTGGGTCGCGACCCCATGTTTAGTGGGTCGCCACATGCCTTCCACTTTTCTAGCTGCCCAGTGCCGAGTGTCAACTTGAGGTGGGCCGTGCGTTCCATTGTAGTGCAACTTGGGTCGCGACTTAATGACCGAGGACAAATGTGGGTCCTGAGGTTACACAGGTTAAGAACCGCTGCCCTAGACCAAAATAAGCAGTTAACCTGTGCAGTGCCAGGGTAGCCCCACCGCAAGGGTTAACTTTTTAAAATCCAGGCGTTCTTTAAACTTGAGACTGTACACTGTAAAGGGAACCACTCTAAACGTGGACATGGCTCTGCCCTGAATCGTGGATGTGGTTTTCATGTGAGCGATAAAATAATACCTAAGCTTTGAAGACTACGTGTCAGCCATTGTACACATATTGGAGTGGTTGCTCTTGTCTGCCGCATGTAGAGAATGCTGTCCCTGCAGAGAAAACCTTCCCTGAAGGAGACTGCCCTGGAGTGAGCATGGCATGTAAAGTGATGGCCCTGAGCCTATAGTGTGGGTACATTTCTGGCAGCCCTGTTCCTCTCCTGCAAGGGCTGAATACTCAAACACAATCCTACATGCCCTATGGGGTCAGTAAGTGATAGCACTTTGGCATTGCTCATCAATCTACACAGCACTACACATGAGTAAAGATGCCCGTATTGGATTTTGCATTAAACATTTCCCTCTGTACAACCAACATAAGGTAATCTCAGGCCTGAGACCTGGGGCACTTACAGGTTTTTTTTTTTTTACAGTTTGCAGAAGAGGGGGGAAAAAAAAGCATGAGGTTCCCCCCCAATTCATACCGGACCCTTTAGGTCTGGTAGGAATTTTAATTGGGAACCGCAGAACCTAAAAATGGGGACAACCATGGGGTCCACCCTAACATTCCGACCAGACCCTTGAGCCGAGCACTGGCAGGGCAGAAAAGGGGAGGGGGCGATCGAGCCCCCCCCCCTTACCAGGCCACGTGCCCTCGGCATTGGGAGGATGTCCCCATGCCGATGGG